ATATACTTAAATACTTTCTATTAATAAGTCTAAATTTCTTTATAACCTTCTTAATATATATATTATAGGCTAATTATAACTTCTTTATTACTTTATTTTATATTATTTAAATTCTAAGAAATTACTTTATATTTCCTTTATTATAGAAATTATATATTATATATAATCTTATAATAATCTTTTTTACTAGTATTTTGTCTTACTTATAATAAAGTATTTAAGTATTATTTATATAGAAAATAATAAAGACTTTTTATATTAGATTAATATATATATAAGGCTTTTCCTTAAATTATTCTAGTTTAAATTCTTCTAATATATTAGTCTAGTATTTATATTATAGAACTAGTAAGTCTCTAAGTCTATAAAATACTCTATTAATAAGTATTATATATCCTAGTTTCTTAAAACTATTTAGGAGCTTATATATTATTTATAGCTTTTTTCTTTTTCTCCTAATATTTATAAATATATTTATAATATTAAATTACTTTATTTCTAAGTTAAAGTATATTATAATTATAATAATTATTCTAAAAGACCTTATTATAAATATAGTAATATATATTAATAAGAGTATATTCTTTATTTATAAATTATTTTATATAATTACTTATAAGTAATATTTAATTATATATTTCTTAGAATCTAGCTTATACTTAAATATTTACTTTATTAGAAATACTTATAGTAAAATTTAATTCTTAGGAACTATTCTCTAATATTCTTAGACTTTAAGATTTAATAATTTAAATAATATATCTTTTCTAAATTTTATATTAAAAAAGTAGTTCTTTAGATTTTTCTAAGTCCTTAGTTTCTTAGAAATATTACTAATATATATTCTCCTAGCTATAATACTTTTAAGAACTAGCTTTTAGTATTTATTATATTCTAGTAATATAGTAATAATTATATATACTATTTAATATTATATTTCCTTCTTTCTATTCTTAAGCTAATTAGACTAAAAAATATTTAAAAGAGCTTTTAAGTAATTAATATTAATTAAACTACTTATTTACTTTAATAATATATTTATTATTATATAAATACTTATTTCTATTTTATTCCTAGTATTTAGATTATTTTTAGAATTATAACTTTTTAAATATATTTTATATTCTTATATTTTCTTATATATTTTCCTTATTTATTTTCTCTTAGACTTTATTATAAATTACTTTTCTATTACTTATTTAGAGCTTTTAGAATTATTTATTAATTCTTTTTCTCTAATATTAATATTAGAGCTTCCTAGAGTCTTAGTTTATTAATCTTAGATTTAATTAATTATTAATATTAGTCTTTTCCTACTTTATTTAAGTAATTATAAATTCCTAATAAAGTCTATAAGTTCTTTTATTCCTATCTTATTAATTATACTAAGTCTTCTAAAAAGTTTAATATATTCTAGATTATTCCTAGTCCCTAGTATATTCTTAGATTCTAATATATTCTCTAGAATTAAGAGTTTATTACTTTTTATAAATTTAATATATTATATTCCTTAAATTTATAGTTCCTCTAGTATTCTATTCTAATAAATTTTCTTATAATTCTAAGTTCTTAAATATAAATCTAATATTTTAGATCTTATCTTTTTTAATTAAAATAATTATAGCCTATATATTTATTATTAATTAGTTTTCTAGCTTTTCCTAATTCTATTAATAGAGAATATTTTTATTAAATATTATATTATAAGTAAAGTAAGGTAGTAAAATAGTAAAGTAGTGCGGGGCGGGGTTGTTAATGCGCCTCACAGCCTTGAGGTTATCACCAAAATTGGGACCGGTCGGCCGGTGGCAGGGGCCTGAATCATCCAGCCCGGAGACAGCTTGTTCGCCTCGTTCCCCACTTCGCACCTGGCTTATTCCTCTGCAGGCTAATTATACATACCTACCTGAAGCGTATAGATTACAGGTACATGTGGTGTGCTTTAAAAGTTCTCTAGTTTCTGCCAATGGCCAATTCGTCGGCGGATGGGCGGCGGGTCTTCCTCGCTACTAAAAGGGTCGCCTTGGAGTTCTTGTACCTTAAGACCAATCGCAAGCCGTTCCCAATGATTATTGACGAGCCAGATTAGAGCGTCTCTGCCATTCGCCATAGATTTCCCGAGCTTTCCTCTCGATTCTAGATCCCCTTTATTGGCTTTCTACTCTTTTCTTCCTTGTTCGAGTCTGCCGAAAGAGACCCGGCATCGCTGGCAGGAGGGGTGTCGGGGTAGAAGGAGGATTGAAGAGGTTGAGGGCTACGAAGAATACTTGATCAGTTGCAAGGGGTATTGGTTGGCTTGGATAGCGGGACGCGGAAGGGTAGTGTGAAAGCTGTTTGGTAGGGCGTAAGACACGTCACCACACGTCATGTCACGTGATTTCATAGCCTTGAGATAAGTCTACCTTGAAGAATGCCTCGCCTCACTTATATAAACTCTAGGTCTTGCCTTACTTTACTTCACTTTGATCTCTAGTTAGAAGCCTTACAATTTGAGTTTCTTTGTTTAATGATTTGCTTTGCTTGCGCTACTTTCATCGTCGGCTTACAGCTTTATACGGTATCGGTATTAGCTGTGAAACGGATTCGATCTAGGAAGAGTCTCTATCAAGAGTCATAAAGAAGGAATAATGCCTTTTTATATCCTCCTGCACTTCAAGGAAACCATGAAATCCAATAGCATTATGTCTTCCGAGGTAAGCCCGCGCTTTCCTACGTCCAATAACCTACGTTCTACTAAGGCTTGATAAATCGCAGAAAAGGGATTACGGTCATATTGAAAATCCAGATCACAGTAGTGGTTTACCCTCTGCGAGACCCGATATGCAAGGCTAGTAGATATGTATTAGTATTTTCTAGCATTTTATCTTCTCTTCTAAGTAATAATCCTTATTAGTATTAAGACGGCAGGGAAATCAATTTCTCAATATATGGGGACTCTTGTCCAGATTATTGCCATGCTAAATGCACGTTCTGTTTAGTTATCTGACTAGCGGCGTTATTAGGATTCGACAAGAACACTACAGAATAGGTATTCAATATATAAAAGTAAGGTGTCTACAAATCATGTTCTTGAAGTTATAAAGGAATTAGAAATACTGAATTCTCCTCCTCTAACTCCTGTATGGATTTGGGCTCCCTCAATTCACAAAAATAGCAAACATTTACCTCCATATCATGACTGCGAATAATTTCTCTGTCTCGCGCTTCGATAATCTCTGTGGTATTACAGGTTTTGTCGGGCATTAATTTCAAGCTCTCAAGTATGGATAGCCAGGATATTTCTATGCCAACTCCATCGTAATGGCAAATCCGACATTTCATTATCGGCATCTCGAGGGGAGTATAATCGATCTCGAAAAGGCACAGAAGCGTCTTTTATATCCAGCCAGCTTAAACTAGGGGCCACTGCTTTAATTCGTCCTTAACAAAATTCGTAAAGTCAATATTTAGATCTCGAAGAAGCTTCCTGAAAAGGAAGAATAAAAAAGAATATCGCATAGCTATAGAGGTAGGTATATTATTAGTACAATCTTTATATTAAAGGCCGTCCGTGAAATCATTATCTAATACCACGTGGAGGTCCAACCTATAGGTAACTAAATACCGTCCAGACTCGCACAAACCATCCCTCCTTATATTTATCGCTAATTCATATACGGGGGAGAACCATTTAATAATTCTTTTGGAGTTAATATCTCCCGTAAGCAGTATAAGTCGTATTAGTAGCTCAATATCGTCCGCATTAATTATTTATCTGAAAAGCTAAGCAATGCCGCGTCCCATTAAAGGTATAGCAAGGGAGATTTGGTCTTGAAGAAATGGGAGTACCCAAAGAAATGCCGCTAGGTAAGAAGAAGGATAAGAGCATGATTTATGACTATATCTGCTATTGAGAAGTAGGCGACAGAGTCCTAGTAGGCCGGTATAGTTAATATCATCCAGAAACTCGAGTTATTCTAGAAACAGCCTCAGAGTCTCAATAGACGCCTTGTACTGCTTCGGATCTATTCCTTCAGATGATTTCAAGCAAGCATATAATACTACTATACTTTGCAAGATGTCAGACTCATGCCGCCGAACGAAAAGAGAATCAGGGAGCATTAACTTATCGGCGAGAGAGCGAGCATCAAGATCCGCTCCTTGAGCAATCAGAAGGCGACAGGTTTCTGGCTTTCCAGATCGCACAGCAAACTAGATTAACAAGTTAGCTAGGTATAATTAGAAATTCCATGGAATATCAAGCCGAGTCCGAATTCTGCTACGAAAGTACTTTCTAATAAGAAACTCACAAACAAGGAAGTAAGCCCTCGGGAATTAGTATCCCACGACAAGGCTCGTCTTTCGTCAAAAAGCCTCTGAATCGCAGTAGTATCTCCTTTTTCGCAGAGTTCAAAAATCAACGCATTATCAGGTACCGTACGGTACGACTTCAGCCTATATTCAAATCCCCAAATCAATTCTGAAAATTCCGCCTGTATACCGAAGTTTATCCCACATATCATAAGCCATTGAGAAGAATAAACAGTAACGACTATTTGAATCATACATTGAGCCTCGCGTCTGCCGAATTCTTGCTCATTATCTTCATTTTCTGCTTCAGAAGTCCCTGACCTTATAGATACGAGATATAGTATTCCAAAAAGGCTACAGCTCCTAATATATCTTCTCATGGTATGGCGCCTTCGAAATCCTGGAGTTTTCTTTCGCACTTGGGTATTAGATTGCCCAATAGTACTTTCTAATAATGGATCGTCGCCGACTCTAAATCCTTTGCCCGGGCTATTAGAGACTTGCAATGGCACTGAGTAAATTAAGTTCTCGGAACCGAATTGAGCTCCTGGATTTCCTATAGTAGTTAATCTCCTCTGAGCTTCTTCTTGCAGGGCATTTATATAATCCTTGATATTAAGGCAGTCTCTTAATACGGTCATAATAATTCTCATGGACTATTATTACAATAGAAGCCTCATTCCCTGAGCAATGACCCTTAAGTCATACTATTATTCTTCGTCTCGGGCCATAACCAAATGACTGCAAATATTAGAACGGTTAAGTCACATAAAAGATAGATATTCAAGATCCCATACCTAATCAAATTTTGCCTGGCTAAGATTAGTATAATCTTTGTATCACGCAAAGTTTCCTGAAATTTTCGAAGCCTATCGCCCTTCCACACAGCTCTAAATGTCGCCCATTTTCTAAGCATCGGCTTCGGGGAAGAGATGCCTAGTTACAACTGATTAATAATACTCTGGAGGGCTTCTATACTGCTCGAGCACCCATTTAGAGCCGCGATACTTGCACTTAGCGCACTGGAATGAGGCCTCTCATTGCTAGCTTCCAGGCGAATATTACATACGATATCTAATACGACCTGTAAGTCTTGGATAATGGAATTAATATCTTTTGGTCTATCTTGAATCGAGGTCCAAAAATCGCAGAGTTTTTGGATGCCCCCTCTAATTTGAATAGCTAAAGACACTACAGCAAAAGCGCTGGAAGCAGCTAATAAACCATCCATAGTAACTTTTCTGATAAACTGAGATTTGAAGCCAGAGGTTGTATTTGTTCGTTATACGTCCGCCAGGCTGAGGCTGTGAACAGCGCAAACCGGATCTGATGTGTGGAGGTCGAATGAGATGCGACGGCTAGAATATCTGGGTACGCTTATTCGGGTACGATTAAAATGGCCGCACTTTGGTGAGGCATTGAGGGGAGGTAGAGTTGATTGTAGAGTGGCAAGTTGATTTCTATTCTAGTAATGCGCGTGCAGAGAAAATACAGTATCTAGCTAAGTGACTAAGCCCAAAAGGGTTAGACAAGCCCGTGACCACGAATGTCCCTCCACAGCATCGTCAAGCAAGAATTCCCTTACCGAGGTATTTAAGCGAGAAGTCTGGCCCTTTAAGAAGCAAATTCTATTTTTAAAATACTTTAAATATATATTTAAAATACTCCTCTCTATATAATTAAATTAAAATTATAATAATTAATTATTTTAAGCTTAAAGAATATAATAATAAGAAATAAATTATATTAAATTAATTAATAAAAGGGAATAAATAACTTAAATATTATTTTTATATATTTATAAATTAAAGGCTTTATATATAAACTAAGCTTATAACTCTTATAATAAGTAAAGTAAAGAGATAATATTTAAAGAGAAGTACTTATAAAATTAAAGTTTAGTTTTAAAAAGAAAAGAAAAGTTAAAATAAGTTAAAGAATATAAAATTATATACTTATTTAAGTACTTATTTAAGTACTTATATAATTATATTATTAATAAACCTTTTATTCTTATTAATTACTTTATAAGAGGTTTTTTTAATTAATTTATAAATTAATAATCTTATCTTTTTATTTCTCTTAAAGCTTTTATAATTAATAATATTATATTACTAAATAATCTTCTTTAATAATACTTATCTTTTTATTAAGAGAAGTTCTTTAAAATTTATTATTTATATATAAGATAATATTAAAATAAGCTTTAAAAAGTAAAGCCCTTTACGTTTTCTTGATTTTTAATATTAGGCAATAGCCTAATTAACAGAGGTCTAGATATCGTTTCGTAGTAGCGATATATGTCTTTTCTGTAATAGAAGCCTCTACTAAAAGTGATTGGACGATTGATGTAGGGGTTCGTCTAACATTATATCTGTGCAACATATCATCACGCTTACTAAAGCTTATACAGGACAATACGTAGGATAATGGCGTAACTCTCATGCTCGAAGTAGGATAATGGCGTGACCCAAAACGCCTTCTCCACTTCCTCAATCTCCCAATCGTTAAGGCATCCTCCCTCTCAACCAAAACACATTCCCGGCTTCCTCAACCTTAGTACGCTTGACTTGGTCGCTCTAGTAACAAACGGCAGATTCCTCCAGTTTCACAACTCGCAGAGAGAGAAAAGTGGAAGGCCATTTCCACCACCCAAACCGATGTATAAAACTAGGTCCCGTTCAACTTGAGGACCTGAGACTATCCATCACAGCAATCAACCATCTCTTGCCCATTTACCATTGTAGGGGTTTCAATTCCAAACATACATTCCTAGACTTCAACTTCCGACGCAACGTTAAACATGGGCCAGCAAATCTCGGCAGTAGTTGAGAAGTTTGACGACGATTCGGCCAAGCAGAAACTTGCCGACGATGCGTTGAACTCCCTACTCGAGATGGCTAAGCTTCAGGTCGCGGCCTTCAAACTTGCCATAAGGTACTAGTCTTAGTTTTTGTTAATCCATAACATCATAAGATGTTAGAGGCAGTTGGTTGATATATTAACATTCATTAGCAATCCCAATTTCGAAGCCAAGCTCATCCCAATCGAGAAGATTCTCAGCTCCGACTCGATCATTCAGGCCAGCATCGAAAACACGCCTACCAACATCGGATCTGTCATTAACGAGACGTTCTCTGCATTCGCAAACGGCGAGGTTGTGAAAGGAATCACAACCCTTATCAACAGTGGCTTGAAGATACTCCTCGGAAGCTATTCTGGAAATGTCTCTACGAGAGACACCTAGTAAGCCTTAGACACTGTTCCCTTCTCGTCTGGCAGAGAACGTAAGCATCTGACTTGCGGTTGCAACTAGCCTCATCTCGACCGGCAAGATTGGCGGTGTCTTTCGCGTCGATATTCATTTCTTCGCCTACCGCTTCAGAAGCGACCAGCTGAAAGCTGTCACCAAGGAGGTTCTTGCCGTGAGCGTCGTCATATCCTCCGCCGAGCTCAAGGGCCTGAGCGACAACACGCTCAGGACATTATTCAGCAAACCTACAGCGCTTCGACCGCGGAAGAGCAAGAGAAGATCTTCAAACAGATCAAGGCAGCCAGAGATGACGAGCAGCAGCCCTCTAACTCCCATGTGCAGCTGAATTTTCAACGAACTATCAACAAGATGCGCGATAGGGCCCCAGGGCCAGTTGGTCTACCAAAGCCCCAGAGCGAACAGCTCGACGTGTCTGAGGTGTTTGAGGTACGGACTCCCATTGGCCGAGCCAGAAACCAATGCCAAGCACTGGACGCCTGGATTCGTGGCGGCATTGCTGCAACATTCGGCCATGACGCTATGGAGATATCCGTGGCGTGCAACCAGTCCGGTCAGAGCACGTCCGACAGTCGTATTTCCGGACTGGTCACCGTCTCTGTCGCCAAGAGCAAGGCTTAGGTCGCTCGGGACAAGTTGACCAGCGCGATCGGCGACCTACTGAGGTCCGCCACGGACCCAGCGCTCTCCGATCTCACCGTCGACTCGTATAGCACCCCGGCGGACGACGCGGGCTTTTACCGCTTCAAGTGGGTAAAAGGTCACATCCCGGACACGGACAGGCTCGCTCGTTCCTCGGCTCCCCACTACGTGGACAAAGATTCGGACCAGAATCTAACTAATGAATCGATCAAGTTCCTTAAGGACAACAAGATCGAGCATGTGATCAGTCTCAATAGCCAGGCTAATAATGAGGCTATTAAAAAGAAGCTCAAAGATAACAACATTGCTTACACGCCGCTGCCAGTTAAGGACTTCACAGCTCCGACTAGCGATGACCTCAAGAAGGGGAAAGAGGAGTACAAAAAGCACCGGGCGGGCACTCTTGTCTGGTGTGGCTACAGACATGGACGTACCGGGACTATGGTGAGCGGTCTGCAGATATATGCGGAAAAGGACAAGAAGTCCTCGACGCGAATGTCACATGATGACTACAGAAAAAACTATGTCGAGCAGATGCATGATGGCAAATCAACAGGACAGTACGAGGTGCTGGCTCAGTTGCAGCAGGGCTGATCGGCAGTGTTCCCAATAGATCAGATATTATTATTATTGATTCTTGTTTTAACTCCCAATGTCGGTCCCCCTAATGGGCCTATGCAGGCCAGTTCCTTTCTCTAGGTGAAAAAAAACCTCCGACTCTGGGGAGAGATGTGAGAGGCGACAATCTAGATAGTATACATGCTACATCGTAGGAGGAAAAACACCTTTTAGGTACTACGCGGCTACCTAGGAGCTCCTAGGTGTAGTTAACATATCGCCCCATTTCGCCTTTAAACCGTACGACTGTGCAATACATGCCTCCTTTCTTATCCTGCCTCTACGCCTAGCTCCTTCATGTTCTGCCTTATAAATACATCTCTACCTTCCCCCTACTTGTAATATGCTCTTCCACTTTCCTCGCCACTAAATAATAGCGGGACGAATGCCTTTCTAGGTCTCCTTTAACCTAGGGCCCCAACCTAGGCTTTCTGCCACTTAGAGAACAGAGGGGGAGAAGAACTACGCGCAGCAGTCCAGCGCGACTTTTATCCCTTCGTCTGGCAGCCAAAACCTCAACTAGCAGGGCCCCCCTTACTTCCCTAATCCTATTGGCTCCCGCTTTGTTTACAGCATTATATAATACATATCTCTCATGTCCCACCTATTATATACCCTGGAATACCCCCTTGCTAGCTGAGGTTTTGGCTGCCAGACGAAGGGATAGATGTTGAAAGCGGCGGCTAGCCTGTGCACGCACCTTGCCCGACGCAGCGGGTGCTAAACCTAGGGGGGTAAATACCGCACCTGAGATTACTTTTAATAAAATATTTATTATAATTTTAATAAACCTTAAATATATTCTAATTAAATATTTTAGAAGCTTTATATTTTCTTTTTATAATTATTTATAAAAAATAATTTTAATTTTTAAAATATTATATAATATATATAGTATTGTATATAACTTAAGAATATATAATAAACTTCAGATATTATAGGTATTAATTAGAGAAATTAATAGCCCTTTAATATTATAACTAATTACTATTTATATTATAAGTATTAGGCTTATATATTACTAATAATATATATATTATTAGGGCCTTTTATTTAGAGGAGGCTTTCCTGAATCTTATAAAAGAAATAAAGATTAGTTCTATATTAAATTTAATATTATAGTTTTATAATTTACTAATTTATTCTATTATCTTATTATTTACTAATAAATACCTTATATATTAAATATAAATTAAATAAGAAAGTTTTATTAAAGCTTTAAAAATTAATGTATATATATTATAATAATTCTTTTATTAATACTATTTATATTATTTAGTATTATATTATAAATAATTAATAAATTAAAATTATATATATAAAAACTAAAAAATATAAAAGAATATAAATTGTTTTAATTAAATTTATTTCTAATATTATATTTTTTTTATATTTCTAAAAGAAAATCTAAAAGACTTATATTAAATGTTTTTATTAAATATATATTTCTTTATAAATATAAGTAATATTTTATAAAAATTAAAAATCTTTTAATTATTAAATATTTTAATTATAATAAATTTAATTATTATATTTATTATTATTTAATTAAATATAATAAAGAAAATAAAACAGTTTCTTTTAAAAGTTAAATTAGATTTAATTTCTATTTTATTAAAATATTTAGTTTTTATTTTAATAATATATTTAAAAAAAATTAATTTCTAATCTTAATATAAAACTAGAAAATAAATATTCTTTAAAAAAAAAAATTTTAGAAATTTATAATAAAAATTTAATAAAAATTAATTTAATTTATTTAATAAAAAAAATACTTTTATAATATTCTATATTATTAATATAAATAAATTAGAAATTAAGTTTTTTTCTTTTATTAATACTAGAACTAATAATTATACTTTTATTAATATAAAGTTTATTGAATTTATAAAATAATTTCCAGAAATAGAATTATAATTCTTTATTTTATTTTATATTATATATAGTTTTAATAAAAAGCTAGCTAAATTTATTAAAAAATATATAAAAGTCTTATTTCTAATTAATAAATAAGATATTAATATATTTATAATTATTTTAAATCTTAGAAATTATAATATTATTTTTAATAAAAAATAAACTATATATATTAATATTCTAATTAATTATAAAAAATATAGATTTATATAACTAAAAAATAAGTCTAAATGTATATAATTTAATTATATTATTAGTATTTTTTAATAATAGTTAAAGAAATAATTCAATAAGAAATATTAAAAAGATATTAATTAATAAAATTTTATTATAAGCTATTTCTCGAAATTTTCTATTTTTAAATAGTTTTCCTTTTTTTAAATTAATTAAAAGAAATTATATAAAACTATAAAAAAGAAGCTTTTATAACTTAATTAAAATATAATATCTAAATAAAAGCCAAAAAGAAAAAGAAGTTTTTACTAAAAATTATATATTAAATTTAGTTATTTTTATTTTTATAATATTTAATTATATAATTAAATCTCTATTTATAAGATTAATAAAAAGTTTAAAACTTAAAGAAAAAAAGCTATTTCTAGTTTAGGAAATTAATAATTAGAAGAAATAAAGCTTTAATAATTTTAAAAAATATTATTTCCGAAATTTAAAAAAAAAAAAATTTCTTTTATAAACTATATAATTATAAGATTTAAATTAAAGTTCTAAAAAGAACTAAAAATATTAGATATTAATCTTTCTAATAATAATTTATTAAAAAGCTATTAGAAATTAAATATTTCTTAAATAATAATTTAGTTAAAAGTTTTATTAAAGCTAATTAAATTCTTTTTATTTTATTAGTTCGTTTTATTAAAAAAGTAAATAGAGATTCATATTTTTATATTAATTTTTATTATTTAAATAATATTATTCGAAGAAATTAATAAAACTTTAAGTTAATTATATAAAGCTAAAATTTATATTAAATTAAATATTTATTAAGCTTTCTATAATACAATTATAAATCTGAATTCTTAAAAACTAATAATATTTTATATTTATTATAAAATATATAAAATATATTCTAATAAAATTAAAATAATATATAATTTATAATTTCTAAAAATAATTAAAAATATATAGTTTTTCTTTAGTTTTTATAATATTTATAAATATATTATTAAAAAATATAAATAAATTACTAAAATTTTTATTTTATTAATAAAAAAGAATATTTTTTAAAGTAATTTAAATAATATTAAAAGGCTTTTAATTATTTAAAAAAAGCTATAATATTTATTTTAGTATTATAATAATAGAAATTGTCGGTTTACTAGTAATACATGGCACCGTTACATAAGTCGTGGAATGCTATTTACGTAAGGTTAGTAAAGTTATTATTTAGAAGTAGGGATTATAGTATTATAGTATTAATATGCGATCCCTAAATCTGCTAAGCCTAAAGGGGTCTAGTCTACTAGTCGAGTCACTAATGGGACTCGAGGTCATATGACTATATCCCGTTTCCTATATCCCATTGCTCATATCCTATATCCCGTATCCCGTAACTTCCAAAGGAATAGTTATACTAATACTAGAAACTCTCTAAAAAACGCGAAAAATAGTGTCTTCCCCTAATCGCATGTAAATTCCCTAATCCGGCCTAGTGCCAGATTCCCAAATGTTCTATATGTTTATATTACTTCTGAGGTTTTGGTTATATACTAAAGGCCGTGGCCTTTTATACGTGACTTCTCCTTCCATAATATTCTCCTATCCCATATGTCTATTTTCCGCCCTATCTATACTTGACCTATTCCTCCACGTCTAATTATATGGTATTCGTATTAATTAGGCGCTTAAGGGCGTTTATTGGCTTTAATTTTATTATGGAATCGGCAGGATTCGATTCTCCCTTAATTTATTTGACTTCTGTAATCTCTTATTATTCGTATACCTAGTAGAGGCATATTACGTTAATTATTAGATGCTTTTCTCGAGTGGTTCCTAATTTGACGAGGTATTCGTATAACAACTTCGAATCCGTATAGACTACTAGTAGTAGTTCTATTTCTAGTGCTTTATTAATTATAGATTTGACTGAAGCGCCTATATTAAAACCATAAGTCATACCGTAGAGTTCCGAAGCTAGGACGCTTCTGGTAATTCTCTTGTATTTGGTAGAGAACTAGTAAATAATATTAGCGCGTCTAGTTCCGTTTACTAGAACTAGAATATATCTAATTTGGGAGGAGAGATCTCTATTATTTATAAATAAAGTATTTATAAAAACGATTAAATATAAGGACTCCTTTGCTAGCTTTATGAATCTTAGTTCTCTGGCAGTATTCTTAATTTGCTATTAAACGCACTTGTTAAGTGCCTTTATATTAGTCTCTAAAGGTTCAATAGTTTGAGTAGTAATTAATAGGTTATATAAAGCTTCTAGTTAATAGACTAACGCAATATACGCTCCTCTAGTATATTGGGCAATATATTAGTCCTTAATAGAGAGATCTTAACGGATAGTGTCCCTATTACTTATAATAGTAGTATTCTTTATAGAAATGGTTCGGAGGTTTTTGTACTAGCATTCCTATATAAGGGTAATTCCGGTAGTATCTATATGAATAATACCTTTATTAAACTTGAGATTATAGTTAGAAGTGAGGCATTTATACTCCTTAGCCAAGAACTTAGCCTTATAAAGCTTTAATTACTTTGCCTTTATAAAATCGTTAGTTCCAATAAATAGGGTATTATTAGTTTAAAGGCCAATGATTCCGAAGGGTTACTTGCTATAGAGGAGGCAAGGGTCGTAAGTTAACTGTTCTATAGAAAGCTCGTTAATATAGTAGGAATAGTAAGTCTTAAACTAATAGTTCCTAGTTTCCGGTATACTATATAGTGGTTTTATAACCTTTAGAACCGAATCATTATTTAGATTTAGCTCTCTAGTAAGCTTATAAGGTGGGTTAACGTAAAAATTACGGTTAAGTAAGGTCGTTAATTAGACATAAGCTTATAAGATATTACGTAAATATAGTTCCGTAGTA